ACGGGGAATCATTGCTCTGTCTGGTGTGAACAATGCTGCTTCTGTTAAGTGTTGCATTTTGGCTTTACAGATGCAACCTTGAGATCCCAGCCGTCCTTGTTATCAACAGCTGAAAGACTCCAAAGAATCAGGAAGCGTCCACGAAGAACCAGAGAGGACCTGCTGCATGAAATCATGCAGCAGTCCCTTAGTGAAAATCAAAAGGTGCAGGAGTGGCGGGAGAGTGAACGGAGGGTCCACCAACAAAATACGGATCGCCGGCACCAAAGCACAGAGCGGCTGCTAAGCATCATGGAGCGCCAAGCGGACTCAATATAGGCGCTTGTAGCTTCCACTCCCGCCCTCCCCTGCAGCCTTTGTCCAAAACTCTTTCCCTTTTGCCCTCATGTCACCTCCAACCCACTTTCCCCAACATCCAGGGTCTTATCACCACCAGCTGCCTCCAACACCTGTAGCTTCACCACCCACCTGCAAACTATGACGGTTACTCACTGCACTCAGCCCCCATCACCATGCATTTTAGCCAGCAAGAAGTGCAGTACTCATTGCACGGAACTCCAGACAGGAAGGCTGAATATGATAACAGGACATACGCAAATCTGTGATTGTCCTGTTCCCCATCCCACCCCCTTCCCTCATCCCACACAGCACAAATGTATCATGCCCTTTCTGTTTCCCAAGCAGTTGTGTTTCTTTTCAATAAATGAATTTTCTTTTCAATAAATGAATTTTTTCCCTTTGAAAATATTATTTATTATTGTATTAAGTAAAAGATACCGTAGCCCAGGAAAGCAACAGTCACTGCAAGTCAGTGCATCATACGTAGCAAACACAGATTCCTACTAACATCGGAACCACTGCACTTCACTCCCATGCAGGGCACCAAACATTAGTGGTGGCTTTTAGCCTCAAATTGCTCCCTCAAGGCATCCCTAATTCTTGCAGCCCTGTGCTGGGCCCCTCTAATAGCCCTGCTCTCTGGCTGTTCAAATTCAGCCTCCAGGTGTTGAACCTCCGAGTTCCATGACTGAGTGAATCTTTCACCCTTCCCTTCACAAATGTTATGGAGGGTATGGCATGCGGCTATAACCGTGGGGATATTGTCATCGGCCAAGTCCAACTTCCCATACAGACAGCGCCAGTGGCCCTTTAAACAGGCAAAAGCACATTCAACAGTCATTCTGCACCGACTCAGCCTGTTGCTGAACTGCTCCTTGCTGCTGTCAAGGCTCCCTGTGTAGGGTTTCATGAGCCATGGCATTAAAGGGTGAGCGGGGTCTCCAAGGATCACAATGGGCATTTGGACTTCCCCTATGGTGATCTTCTGGTCTGGGAAGAAAGTTCCAGCTTGCAGCTTCCTGAACAGGCCTGTATTCCGAAAGATGCGTGCGTCATGCACCTTTCCGGGCCAGCCTGCGTTAACGTCCATTAAATGCCCATGGTGATCCACAAGCACTTGGAGAACCATAGAGAAATACCCCTTCTGATGTATGTACTTGGAGGCTAGGGGGGCTGGTGCCAGAATTGGAATACGCATGCCATCTTTCCCCCCTCCACAGTTAGGAAAAATAATTTGTGCAAAGCCAGCCAGAATGTCATGCACATTACCCAGAGTCACGGTTCTTCTGAGCAGGATTAATGGCCCTGCAAACTTGCATCAACACAATTCCAATGGTCGACTTTCCCACTCCAAACTGGTTAGTGACTGATTAGTAGCTGTCTGGAATTGCTGGCTTCCAGATTGCAATAGTTACCTGCTTCTCCCCCGTCAGGGCAGCTCTCAATCTCGTGTCCTTGTGCCGCAGGGTGGGGGTGAGCTCCTCACCCAGTCCCATGAAAGTGGCTTTTCTCATCCGAAAATTCTGCAGCCACTGTTCGTCATCCCAGACTTGCATGACAATGTGATCCCACCACTCAGTGCTTGTTTCCTGAGCTCAAAAGTGGCGTTCCACAGTGGTGAGCATGTCCGTGAATGCCACAAGCAATCTCGTGTCATATGCGTTACGTGAGTCAACATCATCGTCGGAGCCCTCGCTGTCAGTTTGTAGCTTAAGGAGTAACTCGACTGCAATTCGTGACATGCTAGTGAGACCCATCAGCAAACTCCTCAGCAGTTCGGGCTGCATTCCTGCAGACCAAAAGGGAAGACAGAGCACACAGTACAAAAAAACGTAGAAAGACGGCGCCAACTGTGGGTGGAAGCACAGGGATAGCTGGGATGCGAAGCGATGCATAACGGGGCATTGGAACAGGACCCAGAATGCCCCGCACTCCCCGCCCCCTTCCCACAAGCCACAGCGCCAGAATGGAAAGAGGGGCTCTGTGGGATAGCTGCCCATAATGCACCGCTCCCAATGCCGCTGCAAGAGCCGCAGATGTGGCCATGCCAGTGTGCTTGCAGCTGTCAGTGTGGACAGACGGCAGCGCTTTCCCTGCTGTGCTCTCCGAGGGCGGGTTTAACTCACAGCGCCCTACGTCTGCAAGTGTAGCCGTGCCCTGAGCAAGATTTGAATCAAGCACTCTCTCACCCTAACAGACGGTGCAAGCAGGTTACAATTCCTCAATATGCAGCCTAGACCTCCTTCCGGCCTGGGACCGAATTTAGGGCTAGTCTACACGGGCAGTGATAAAGTGCTTTAACGTGCCTTCTGTGGTCAGAGAGCTCTCTCCCAGTGCTCTAAAAAACCCACCTCCACAAGGGGTGCAGCTCCCAGCGCTGGGGCACTGTCTACACTAGCGCTTTACTGCACTGACTCTTGCTGCGGGCAGGGAGGTGTTTTTTCACTCCCCTAAGTGAGAAAGTTGCCGTGCTGTTACTTGCTGGCGTAGACAAGCCCTTACCCAGTTCAAAGTCTTTGTCTTCCAGATGTACCTCCAGCTGTTGAGATGGGGGGAGGGCCAAGTGATGACCACTCTCCCCCTTTTATACTTTCTTCCAGCTGCTAGAAAGATCCTTGTTGTAACTGGATTAGTCCGCCCCCATGGGGAGTCTCTAGGATACCGGATTGGGTGTTGATGAGTCATTATCAACTTGGAAATGATCAATGGCTCCATGTCTAGTTGGCAGCCGGTGTCAAGTGGAGTGCCCCAGGGGTTGGTCCTGGGGCCGGTTTTGTTCAATATCTTCATAAATGATCTGGAGGATGGTGTGGATTGCACTCTCAGCAAATTTGCGGGTGATACTAAACTGGGAGGAGTGGTTGATATGCTGGAGGGCAGGGATAGGATACAGAGGGACCTAGACAAATTGGAGGATTGGGCCAAAAGAAATCTGATGAGGTTCAATAAGGATAAGTGCAGGGTCCTGCACTTAGGACGGAAGAACCCAATGTACAGCTACAGACTAGGGACCGAATGGCTCGGCAGCAGTTCTGCAGAAAAGGACCTAGGGGTGACAGTGGACGAGAAGCTGGATATGAGTCAGCAGTGTGCCCTTGTTGCCAAGAAGGCCAATGGCATTTTGGGATGTATAAGTAGGGGCATAGCGAGCAGATCGAGGGACGTGATTGTCCCCCTCTATTCGACATTGGTGAGGCCTCATCTGGAGTACTGTGTCCAGTTTTGGGCCCCACACTACAAGAAGGATGTGGATAAATTGGAGAGAGTCCAGCGAAGGGCAACAAAAATGATTAGGGGTCTGGAACACATGACTTATGAGGAGAGGCTGAGGGAGCTGGGATTGTTTAGTCTGCAGAAGAGAAGAATGAGGGGGGATTTGATAGCTGCTTTCAACTACCTGAGAGGTGGTTCCAGAGAGGATGGCTATAGACTGTTCTCAGTGGTAGAAGAGGACAGGACAAGGAGTAATGGTCTCAAGTTGCAGTGGGGGAGGTTTAGGTTGGCTATTAGGAAAAACTTCTTCACTAGGAGGGTGGTGAAACACTGGAATGCGTTACCTAGGGAGGTGGTAGAATCTCCTTCCTTAGAAGTTTTTAAGGTCAGGCTTGACAAAGCCCTGGCTGGGATGATTTAATTGGGGATTGGTCCTGCTTTGAGCAGGGGGTTGGACTAGATGACCTCCTGAGGTCCCTTCCAACCCTGATATTCTATGATTCTATGATTAACGCCTGTCTGGCCAGTGATGGCTACTCCTTGGTTGCAACTGAAAGACCTATTTCAGTAACACACATAGCAATGCTGAATAACTTCACAGGCACTGATCACACACACAATCCAACAGGCTATTCATGTTCAGTGGATCACGACTTTAAAAATTATACCTCACAAGATATACTTTGTACAAAACATATAATTATAGGACAGTGGGGTGAATATGGGGGTCCAGGGCGCTGCTTTGAGGTACAGTGTCACAATGGGTCGGTGGTGAGGCGGGCTCTGAGGGAGGGCACAGCGGTGGGGTGTTGCGGGAGGGCGAGGCAGGTTGTACCTGGGGTGCTGAGGCTGAGTGGGGGGGAGGGGCTCAGAGGAGGGTGTACGGGGGGTGGGATGCTGAGGCTGGCTGTGCGGGATGTGTAGGTGGAGACACTGAGGCTGGGCGTGGGGGAAGGGTGAGACGGGGTGGGGGGTTCTGAGACGGGGTGTATGGGGGCTGAGGTGGGAAGTGAGTCTGAGGGAGGGGCTGGGCGCGGAAGGGCAGGTTGGGGGGTGCAGCCCCAGGGGTCGGTGCCGGGTGGGGGCGAGGGCGGGTGGCGTTAGCCCTGGGGTCAGCGCCATGCACTGGTGGGTAGCGCCCAGCAAAGGCTTGGGGGGCTGCGAGTCCTGGCTGCGGGCTGTGCTGCGGGGTCACTGGGCCCTGTGGAGGGCCGGGAGAGAGGCTGCGCGGGTGCCAGTCTGTGGATCTGGCCCTGGTCCCCCACTCTTTTATTGTGGGTCCTACTGTAACCCGCCCGCGGGCTCCCCCTGCCGCTGCTGCTGCAGGCGGCCTAAGCGCAGGGCCTGTGAAATTGGACGCGGCTCCTTTAAGGCTTAAGAGCCCCCACCCTCCCGCGCATGCGCGCGACCTGCCGGGGTGGGCAGAGTGTCTCGCGCAGAGCGTGAGCGGCGCGCGCTGCAGCGTGCGCTGCCACAGAGGGGCCGCGCCCAGGACTCAGCCCGGCGCCGCGGGAGCGCGCCACCTCGTCCGTCTCCTGCCCCGCGGGAGCGCGCCCGCGCCCCCGCCCCCGCCTGGCCCGCGAGGATGCGCCCGGGAGCGAGACGGGGCCGCTGGACTTCGCTGCCCCAGCCCGCGGCCCCGTGCCGCCTCCGGCCCGCAGGTGAGAGACCCGCCCGGCGGGGCTCTGGGAGGAGCTGGGGGTGCTGGGGGAGCGCGGAGCTGGGGGTGGGGGGCGTGGAGTTGGGGGGGTGCTGGGCGAGGGGGGGGCGTGGAGCGAGGGGAGGGGGTGGGGGGCGCGGAGCTGGGGGGTGCTGGGCGAGGGGAGGGGGTGGGGGGCGCGGAGCTGGGGGGTGCTGGGCGAGGGGAGGGGGTGGGGGCGCGGAGCTGGGGGGTGCTGAGCGAGGGGAGGGGGGTGGGGGGCGCGGAGCTGGGGGTGGTGCTGAGCGAGGGGAGGGGAGGGGGTGGGGGGCGCGGAGCTGGGGGGGCTGAGCGAGGGGAGGGGAGAGGGGGTGGGGGGCGCGGAGCCGGGGGTGGTGCTGAGCGAGGAGGGGGGGGGGGGCGAGGGGGTGGGGGGCGCGGAGCTGGGGGGGCTGCTGGGGGAGGGGAGGGGGTGGGGGGCGCGGAGCCAGGTGGGTGGGGGGCGAGGAGGGGGGGGGGCGCTGAGCGAGGGGGCGGGGGTGGGGGGGTGTGGAGCTGGGGGGGTGCTGGGCGAGTGAGCGAGGGGGTGGGGGGCGCGGAGCTGGGGGTGGTGCTGAGCGAGGGGAGGGGGTGGGGGGCGTGCTGAGCGAGGGGGTGGGGGGCGGGGCTGGGGGGCGGTGCTGAGCGAGGGGAGGGGGTGGGGGGCGCGGAGCTGGGGGTGGTGGTGAGCGGGGGGGGGGGCGTGCTGAGCGAGGGGGGGGGTGGGGGCGCGGAGCTGGGGGTGGTGCTGAGCGAGGGGAGGGGGTGGGGGGGCGCGGAGCTGGGGGGGGTGGAGCTGGGGGTGCTGGGGGAGTGTGGAGTTGGGGGTGGTGCTGAGCGAGGGTGCTATGCTCTAATAAATTTGTTAGTCTCTAAGATGCCACAAGTCCTCCTTTTCTTTTTACGGATACAGACTAACACGGCTGTTCCTCTGAAACTAGCAAATCACATAGCGATGGCTGGGAAAAGTCCGCATTTGTCAGCAGTTTCTCCCAGTTACATGTTGTGTGCTCTAGTTTGTCCTTATCGTAGAATAGGTCTCTGCCATCACTGTGGGGTAGTAACTGACAAATGTGGACTTTTAGTGGTGAGTACTCTAGTCTTGAAGCCTTTTCACTTGCATATCCTTTGTGTTGCCGCTCTTCTTTTCCCATCTGCCCATGAGCTCTGTATTGAAATGGGTAAGAATTTGCTGTGCTAGGAGAACAGCCCATAAGTAAGGAGCATAGAAGCAGATGTGAAACAAGGTCAGTAGTGCTACGTATCTGCTCTTGGAATAATTGATAGCCATTGATGCACCATCGTTCAAAATGTTACTTTCAGTTAAAGCACAGGACTGACTGGGTGTTTGGAGATCTAGGGTCTGTTAAAAACAACAAGGAGTCCCGTGGCATTACGCTAGCTGCCTCACTAAGGGGGGCTGGGAAGGAATTTTTCCCTTACCACTATATTGGCAAGGTGCAATGGGGGTTTTTTCGCCTTCCTCACAGCAGGTTCAGGTGGGCTCTGTTCATACATAGCATGACGGCGGTAGACCATGTCGCAACTCTTTATTTAAGTGTGTAGCGGATGTTCAGTGCAGGTACTCCATAAATGAAGGCACAAAAGAACGGAAAAATGGCTTGGAAAAGGAATTAAGGAGAGGTGCTTGGTAATGCCACAGACTTCCTGTGTGACTTTAGGCAAATCTCAATTTCCCCATTGGTAAAATGGGGTTAATACCAACTCAGGGGCACTTTGAAAAGTAGATTATTTGTAAAGTATTTTGAGATTGAATATCTTTTCTACATAAGAGAAAATTTACTCTTGCAAGAGCTATGTGGTGCCCCCTAGCAAATTTGTAACATTCCTTGCATCTGCATGTAAAATTGCTCAAACTGTTTACACTCATACACAATATCATTTGGGTCAGTACTGTTATGAGCTGGGTGAAATCTTGACCCCATTGAGGTTGATAGGTGTGAGTTCTGTTAACATAACTAAGCATAAGCTACACTTAAAGCAAAAGGTGTGTCTGAAACCACCCAGGACTTTTGGCTGACTGTTGTGTTGGGTAGGGGTGGTGTTTGTGTGGGACAAGAGATCATGCGCACACAATGAGAACCTACAAGAACAAAAAGAGAGGGAGAGGCCAGGCAAGAAAGCCAATCAGGAGCCTGTAAGCAAAGTTTGACCCTGGAAAAAGCTAGAAAGAGAGCTTTTGGGTCTGGTATTGGCTAAATAAAGAGGCTTGCTGGCTATGTAAGCTCAGTAAAAGGTTCTTTTGTTCTTGGTTCCTTCTATAGTCAGAGACACAGGACTTTGTACATTCTTTGTAAATAAACAAGATTGCATCAAAGAAAATACCAGACTTCATCAATTTCTACTTCCAACTGGAAAATATCCAAGGCCCCAAACTTTGACTAGCCACTTGTTGCCCCTTTTCAACCCAGTATTTAGTGTCGCTGAAAGCAAACCTGATTTAGTCTGAATCAATTCAGCCTGCATGCATCTACTGCCAGTGGGAATGGTACTGAAATTGTTCAAATACTCCTTCCACTATTGTCCTATAGTGTACCAGAGTCTTTCAGAATCTGAGTCCACTGCTTCTGTGTGTGCAGTGAACTATGGGATAGGTACCCAGAGGGAACTGTAACTGAAGTAGTTCAGAGCAGTACTAGTAGGGACGTAGGACAAAGCTTCATGGTTCAGAATACAACTCAGTATGGCTAGTGTGGTTGCAGTGAATAGTTTGTGCTTAAAACAGTTCTGTCAAAAGCACTTCAGTTATTCAGATCTGTGCAGTAGACATAGTCTAAGACCATGTCTATACGGCAAACTTTGGTTGACGCAAGTTATGTTGGCATAAAGCCAGCCCACTGTTAGTATATTGCTTGTGAGTGTGCATACTTGGCTGCTTGCATCGGCGTTGTGCATACTCACCCGGAGTGCTTGTGTCGATGCACAGTGTAGTGCACCATGGAGGTATCCTAGCGTGCAACACACCACTGTCCAGCACACTCTGTTGGGAAGTTTTGGAAATGGATAGTGGGGCAGAAATGAGTTGCGCGGGGATGACTGTGAGCAAGGGGTCAGCTTCCCAGCGTGCAATTGTCCCCATCCCATAATGCCAGCTAAAGCCTGTAATTTTTATGACTTTTTTTAAAAATCCCACCAACCCATGTGGACTGTCTTCTTTTTTTGCTGATGATGGCAAATCAACTTGAAGCACTCCTTCCATTTTTACTCATTTCTAACATTAAAAAAATTGATCAGGTATGATGATCTGAGCATTAATTGATAAATTGTGGCCCTTGACTGACTGACTACTGTATTAACTTTGAGAGGACTACCTGTTAAAGATGTGTTAACATATAATTTTAAAAAGTTGATTTTTAAACATTTTCTTGAATATATATTTTCATAATTGTTTTAGACTTGTCATGTTTTGTATCTTGTGTTTGTGGGAGAAAGGGCTTTCGAATGATACCTAACTTGACCCATTTCCAGAGACCTTATATTATAAAAATATCCACCAACTGAAGGATCTGGAGCTGAGGGGGCAGCAAGTCCCTCCACTTGCCAAGTTACAGAGGATGATACCATTGAAATTATGATTTTTACAAATCAAATGACACCTCCCTTTCCTTTCTATCATTAACTTGGCCATGGAATTACACATGCTCCCAGACTGATAGATACGGTGAATTTATTCAGGGACATCTTTTGATCTGCAGAAGTGCAAAGATGTGACACAGTCTTTATCATCAGGCACAAATGGGTTTTCCTGGATAATAATGGCAGAATAAACCAAAGTGTATTTTATTTTCAGGATAGTTAAAATTCGTGTTGTCATAGACCATTCTTTTATACAAAAGGAATCTATTTACAAGCAACCACAATGCTTCTGGTTAATAAACGTTTAATGTTGCTTGCAAAGTGAGGAGGCAGGGCCGGAGAAATGTGGATCATGATGAACCTCACCACCTTCTGCTTCAAGTGTGCAACGCACATTTGTTTGATCCTGCCTTCCCTGACATAAATATATAGCAACATGTATATTAAAACCAACAACCTGAAAATATACTAAACCAAGATAATTTACTGTACATGCTTCTCCCCTGGGAGAGGATGAGACAACAAACATGACAGCTGTGTAGCGATCTTCCTTACTGCACGAAGAAGGTGCTCTGGTACTAGAGCGATGACTGTAGTATAAGAACTTATTGAATACAATATTAGAGTTTGCTTTAGTTCATATTTGACTTTGTCCATTAATCTTTCCCTGCCTAGTCCTCCTAGACTGTCTCATAAGGTTTATGACGTCTGAGGCAAGCCATAAAATACAGAAATACACAAAATCCAAGAAGATTCCCACCAAGATTTTCATTCAAAAAGTTTAATGCCAGAAGGGACCATTAGATCATTTAGCCTGACCTGCTGAATATTGCTTTTACCTGTTTAACCCTGTATTAAGCCCAGTAACTTTTGTGTTTGGCTAAAGCCTATCCTCCAGAAAGAGATCCAGGCAGTCTTGGTTTGAAGACATCAAGATGTGGAAAATCCACCCCTTCCCTTGGTATTTTGTTCTTATTGTTAAAAATGTTTGCCTTATTTCTAATTTGAATTTGTCTGGCTTCAGTTTCCAGCCACTGGTTCTTTTTATGTATTACTCTGCTAGATTAAAGACTCCTTTTGTATCTGGTATTTTCTCCCTATGAAAATACTTACAGACTGTAATCAAGTCACCTCTCAGTCGTCTTTTTCATAAACTAAAAACAGATTGAGCTCTTTAAATCTGTCACCGTAAAAAAGCCATTTTCTCCAATCCCCAAATCATTTTTGTCTTTTCTGCACCCTCTCCAGTTTTTCAACATTCTTTTAAAAATGTGGATTCCAGAGCTAGACATGGTATTCCAGTACCTGACTCATCCATACCATATGCAGAGGTAAAATCTGCTTCATGCTCCTACTTGCTACTCCTGTTTTTATACATGTGGGGAT